ATCATGGTTCTTTAAAAAAATATCATAACCCTGCTCATGAAGTCATATTGGACTTTGTGACAATGGTGACACATTGTTCTCCAACACCTGCAAAAGGCCTTGAACTTGACAGAGCCAGATCCAGCGGACAGTGCCCGTTAGAGCAGCTTCAAAGTGATGAAGTCATAATAAAGATGCAGAGTGTGTACTGTATGTGCACCCTTAACTTTATTTCACAGTACTTTGTCTGAAAGCAGATAACATAGTATTAAGAAATAATTACAAAATAAACACATTTTGTGCTCTTGTTTGTTTTTGATGCACTTGAACAACAACAGTTGATCTCTAAAGGTTTTTCTCAACACTTTAAACTCTTATTAGACACATAAGTGCTACAATATGCAGTATAAAAAACATGTCGCTAAATAGCTAAATGAACTAGAAACCTGACAGCTCTCAGAGGATACTGAAACACTTTTTTATAAAAATAACAACAAATGGAGACTCAACGGTATCAACATAAAACAAAAGGAATTTTACACTTGTACATGTATCCCAAAAATCTTAAGGCGGTTGAAATATTAAGTCAGACAACCAAGTTTACATTTTACAAGGTGCTTACATAACACATTCACATCAGGCTCATGAATGCTTCATTTCACATGAATAAATAACAGCGTCATGACACACTTTTGCAACAATGAACGTAATAAAACAGATAAAATATGTAATTCCCTGCTATCTCAATTCACAGTACATGCATACCAATATATCATTAATGCTGTATTTTTTCTTTATTTGTCTCTTTTTAATTCATTGATGAGGTCATGTTTAATATTTGTTTACACTCTGATTTTGATGTTGTCATCCATTATGCCATATGAGCAAAAGGGAAATGATGTTTGTGGTTTGTTTAAAGCACCACAGAGTTGTATTACAGTGGCCACCATGATAAAGTATTAATTAGTTGTATTCTAATTTATTAAGAAAGGACCACAATGAGTGTGTTTGCATTACCATCATTCATGGGCATTTCCCGTTTGTGTCTTAAAGAACTTCAGTGGAAACCCCTAAAATTTGAGAAGCTGAAATTTTCGATGTATTGAACTTAATAAACGATTTATCTCTGTTCTGTTTTCAACAGCCTCTCCTTCTACAATGATTTAATGGCACCCAACTGGAGAATTAGCACCATCAGCAATCCTCTTAATATTCACGTAAGATTAGTGGATGAAAACACACACTGATCTATATTTTCTCGTGCTGATTTGCTGGTTATTCTAATTCAAACAACACACACTTTTCTAACAGGAGCAGATCTGTTAAAATAAAGAAGATCTGCTGCTACTTGGGAAGTTTGTTTCCTTGAATTGGGACAAATAATTATACATTGTGATTGTTTTAACAATTTCCAATTTTTTAAAATAACAATCAGTATCTTTTTTTACAATATTGGTTTAGCCCTGGACTCAACGATTTACTATATTAGTACAATATACTTTCAAATAAACTTTTGTTTATTTTGTATTAAGGGAAATTTAACACCTATCATTCAATCATAAACATGCAATGAATCATTATGAGCCTGTTTGGAATAAGTTATATAAACAACTTACAAAGAAAAATCATTAAATCTTCTATTTACTCAAAAACAACAAAACTAAAATAGACAAAATAAAAAAGAAATCATGATATACAAATTCACAGCCAGTAAGTCAGAGGATTCAGTTTCACATTCTCAAATTTTACTCTAGCATGTTGATATTCATCTGGTATGTAGCTTTCACAATATACAAAAAAGATTTAACAGCCTAGCAGTTGAAAATAAAACAAAACCTTTCAGCAAGCAACAAGGCCCGGCCGAATTACAAACTACTTTCCTGCATTTATCAGATCAAACATTATGCAATATAATACACTGGAAGAAATATTAAAGCAAAGAAGAAACAAACAAAACAGAACAGTCTGCAATAACAGCAAATAAATATTTCCTTGAAAAAACACATAAAAGCTGCCATAGACAGATCAGAATAAGTATCTGTTACATTCATCCATCGGGCTCTCCTGCAGGGAAGAACAGCTGTCTGTACCCAAACAACAGGTGATGAAGTACAGCTGCTTTCCCTTTGAAATGTTACTGATTCATACTCATTACCATCTTGTGTGTTTGGAAATTGTTGTTTCCCAATATTTTCACTTTATAAGAAGTAACTGATACAGTAAAAAAAAAAAGGGGTCAACATAGACCTACTGCTGTATGTTCCTATGATTCCCAGACCGTGCAGAGATAATGTAAACATTTCAGCTTTTTCTACTTTGGTACTAAAGATACAAACGATGGTTCACAACACTGATGACCAAGCTTCAGTACAGCATGTGATTTACTGCAACTTTCTGCACGAAGTCTATCACATGCCAGCCAGTGGAAATCTCGTTGTGTGATTTAAGGGGACTTGAAAACTGAATCCATCTGTATCATGTAAATGCATGTAAAAGCTTTAAGAAAAATGAGAATATATATACATATAGGAAAGAAAACATCAGGCGGCAAAGGTTAAAATGACAAATGTCCTGACAAGTTTGAAGTGGGACATGCCGGTGTTTAGCAACAAGATAATCCAAATAAACAACGCTCCGTTTGATAAACCCAGCTCGTCCAGTAATACGTTTCCATTTACACAGCAAACATTGCAAATATAGAAATCCATATCTGTACATAGTTTCATTAAATTAAATAAATTCAGGGAGGGAAGGAAACCAAAAAGTTATTTTTCAATAAAAGGTCCAGATAATTCTTCAAAAAATATTGAGGTTTCATTAAACATATCTTCATATAGTAGTTTCATATTACACAACAGCAAATCCACTGTCACAGGACTTGGCCATGCGATACCCAAAAACCTATAATCCATTGTAACATATATGTCATTAATTTGCAATATATATTTTCTCTTTAATAGTTAAAAGTTTTCCCGTTGGATGCTTTACATAATATGACAAATTTAAAGAATGTTTACCCCATTTTTCTCACAGTCGAAAACAGAATTTTATACACGCGAGTGAGTAGTTGATTATAATATGGAAGTTTCCATTGATTCAATAGTCAGATGAAGTTCTTGTGTCATTTCTGCAACGTGTGGTCCATTTTAAAAACATCTAAAGTGGTTATGATTTCTGTTGGGCTGACACACCTTTCCAGTAGTCTAAAATATCGTGCAGGTCCTCATCCTTTGCAAACTGGACTTTCTTACGCAGTGCATGCCCTGCAGCCATGTACTCATCATCTTTGTGCCGTTTTCGGTGGAGTTTGAACCGCTCCCAGATGCTATGTGAAGGTTTGCAGTAGTACTCGGGACTGGAGGAATAGCTTAGATTGTGATACTGAGATGACAGCTGGGAATATGCTAAGTCTCTGGAGCGGGAGTGAGTGAGAGGCTCCAGCATGGAGGACTTGTGGCCGTCAGGTCCTTCGAGCTCCTCTATCTGAGCATCGGGGTACGAGTGCCGGTGGTCACTGTACTGACGGATCTTCTCCGCCTCAGCTCTCAGGATGGTGGCAGCAGGTGTTACAGTGAGGATGGTCTCTCCTGTTGGGGAGGTTTTCTCTATGTACTTGGATTCAGGGCGATAAGGCCTGGGGCTTCGCATGGGCCCTCCTGTGGCAGTGCTGGGCCTCTTTGGTGAGACGTCAGAGGTCCGATGCCTCTGCAGAGAATGATGGTAGCTGTCCGTGTACACTGGTGACAGAAGGCCGGACTTATTCTGTGGGTGTTCTGATATCAGTACGAGCTGAGGCTCTGCTGTCGACACTGCTCCAGATTTCACTCCTTGAAAAGAGGTGGATTCTGACTTTAGAGCATCTATACAGTTGTTAATTATCTGATTGACTTTATCCACCTCTTTTGCAATGGTGGAAATCTCTGCCACTGACCCCTGGCTGTTTCCAGGCATTCCCATGTCACACTCCCTGCGTTCATGGTGTTCCATACTTCGCACCTCCATGTAATTTCCCTTCATCATTTTAGGAGTATCACTAATCTCTTGAAATTTGTACTGCTCTATCTCAGCAGCAGATGGTAAGTATGGCATACGCGCCATGCTCTCCCCAGCCAACAACTGCTTCTGTGACATTCGAGAAATAGTCCCCCCTTCCAGTTCTTGTCCATACTTAAGCTCCATTATATTTTTCTTCAGGGTACCTGCTTTTTTGTGCTTTTCATCTTGCTGACGCTTTCTTCGCAAGCAATAGTAGACCACCCCAAGAAAAATGACCATGCTAAAGAGGCAGCCTAAAATTGTCATAATATAATGAGTAGCAGTTGCATTGTTTACAGCTCTGTCCTTCTCAATCCGAGGGCCTGTAGTGACAGTCAGACAAGTGTGATTGCGTCTAAGAGAGTTTCGTATTGAAGCCACACAGTATGTGTAGTTAGTGTGGGGTTTAAGGTTCTTGAGTTCGATATCCTCCTTTATATCTTTGAGATTTCGAATATCTGTGAAGAAGCTGTTGTTGTACAGAACCAGGATGTACATCTTTTTGTAAGGATGAGGGATCTGAACTGTGATGGTGGCACCTGTATTCGTAACTTGCTTCACTTTCATCAAAGGGGTTACTTCCACTGTGCTGTAAGTTGCACTGATGGTAATGTCATCTGGTTCCGTGCCTGATGGACAGTCTTCAACACCCCCACAGAGTGTTGAGTCTGGTGGGGGTGTTGAAGACTCGGTGGGCAAAGCAATAAATGGTGTCACATAGTCATCCGTGCACACAGTTTTGAGCATGTGGAGTGCATTTCGATATGTTGGATTGTTCGGATTCTGACTCAGTAAACTAAAACCGGAGATGCCAGGTGGGGAGTCGCAGACCATCCGCTCGTTCGTCCTGTTTGGGAAAACTGAGAGCCATTTGACAAAACCAAGTAATTCACATGAGCAGTTGAAAGGATTGGTGTACAGCTCGCAGGTGGTCAGTTTAGTCAGACTGGTAAACGTGGACCCGTCTAACTGTTGGATTCGGTTCATGGACAGGTCAATGTTCTCTATGTTGGGGCATTCCCAAAAGGCATTGGGTGTCACAGTCTCTATCAGGTTTGCCTGGAGGTAGAGGTATTGCAGCTTTCCTAAACCCCTGAGGATTCCTTCTGCCAGGTTCCGCAACTTGTTAAAGCCCATTTGAAGGACTTGTAAGTTAAACTGAGCAGAAAAGGCCCCGTCCTCGATGTAGGAGATGTCATTCTTCGTCAGGTTCAGGTAGGTCAAGTTGGCAAAGCGACTAAGAGCAGAATAATGGATACTTTTGATTTTGTTTTCATTCAAACGAAGGTCCACAATGGTGCTGTTGATATGCTGTGGGATGGCCTCATAAGGTGGTTGGTTTTGGCTACAAATTGCAAGCCATACAAAGCCCTTTTCACCCTCAATCAACCAGCAGTCTCCACTGACTTTGCCAATATGAGTCAAATATACAATGGCTACAGACCAAAACAAGGCACTCATCACCACGCCTAAGCTGCAGGCCATTGGTGCTTCTCTGAGAGTCATGTGCAGGGCCAAAAAATAATGAAAGGGGATACCACTGTGGTTTCAGCACAGCGGAGACGATCCTGTTGGAAAATCTGCTCGATGTTCAACTGTTCTCAGGGTCAGAAACACTCCTTTTATTTGTCTCCTCTTCATTGATGGATGGTGTTGTCCCCATGTACCAGTCAGAAAAATGTTTGTCTGCCTTTGTACTGAGTTTCTTTCATCAGGGGTTTCCTGCAGTGAACTTGTGGCGGTGGTTTAAAAGAGATTTCACCACCTCGGGTCGGCTTGTGCTTTGTTCCTTAGAGGTTACCATCATTAAATGGTCTCATCTTATTGTTTCTGTCACTGTCTTCCTCCCTGTGTCTCTCTCGCGTGCTTGGAGAAATAACCTGCAAAGTGGAGACACAAGAACAGAAAGGCGACATTAATTAGACTACACTTTATCAGGATAGGAAATGCACATTTATTGTAAATGTTGGTATTGAAATGTTGCTCTCAATTCCTGGCATTCATGTTTACTGCAAGCTCTCCTTGTTCATGCTCCAGCAATTATTTTGTACACAATTTAAGAGGTGTTTTCAGTCCCTGTGGCAGAATGCTAATAAAGGAAACCGTTGGCCAATTACCACTTGACAGGTGGGGAAAAGCAGGGTCCCTCTTTTCACACCATTAACCTGAGGGCTGTCAGATGCAACTGAGGGAGGCCAATGTTAAGAAGCTGCATTAAATCAATTATACAGCACCACATGAAATGACGCTCTGGATCAATGTATTTAGGTTTTTTTCCCTCTGAAAACCTTTATGAATAAATTAAAAATTATTTTGAGTGCTGGATTATACAGGAGAAAAGACGGAACTTGTGTTCAAGGTGTGATTACCAGAGCGTTCCAAATTGAATTAAAATCGTTTGAAAAAGGAAGACGAGCCATGGTGAGAAAATGGGGGAAAAAATGATGCTGTGTAAATGAAGAAGAAGCAACTGTGGACAGGAAATCTCTAAATTATTGCTTTCTTTCTTTTTTGACACTTCAAGTTAATCTTGTTTCTTAAAAAACACATATGATAGCCTCACAAGCACTTGTTGTCCTCCACATGGTTTTGCTTTTCGTAAAGTCAGCAAACTGGCTATGTCAATATCAAAGGTTACTTAACATTAGTCACCACATCCAACCTGAAACTTTAACTGAACCTTTACTTGGAATCAAATCTAAACTAATTCACCTCACATCAAATAATTAGTGTGGCTGTCATCAAGCTTGAGCTTAAATGTGTTGTGTGTGCTTTGATTGTGATCATATCAGAATTGGCATATTACATTTGTTTAAAATTATTTAACATAACACAAATACAAGCTTTTTAATGTTTATTCAGGATATTATGGGGCAGATTTAGTTTATTCCAGAGATAACTTGTAGAAGAGTTTTTTCTCTGGGGGACCTCACAAGAAATTGATTGTATTGAATTTAACAGGCAGCATGGGGATGTTTATACTGTAATGTGTGAGAAAGGATTTCATATACAAAGATATAAAGGATTTTCATTATCTCTCGGCAATTTAGATTAGTTTTGGTCTAAAATCTAAAAAAATATGGTATAATAATTATTTCCTCCACTGTTGAATGAAAAGTCATTTATCTAGTGAAGTAAACAGATATGATGATATTATTATTCATTATTTATTCAATTCATCTTGTTAATTCATTTTTAATTTATAAGGTTGTTTAAAGACACCCCTTTTTTAAGCAGTAATTTTTAAGCAGTAATTAATTGGTATAAAACAATTCTAATAGCTGCTAAATTATTAGAAATTGAAACAATGATCAAAATGATTTAGAGATGAAGACACAGAGGAAATATTGAATGTTGAAAATATAACCTCAGGTATTGATCTTGTCTTTTAGATCATCAGCTGTTGCTCAGACATAGGCCAGGATTATTTGCCATGTGGTGACACAGGGGGTGAGAGGGGACTTTTGTGTTAGAGGACATGTCCCTACACAACACGAGATAATCGCACTGTTATAAGAGATTCAGTGTGACAGTTCATGGCAGAGAGAATATACTTCAAGTTGAAACCCCACCTACCATTGCAGACCTGAAGACCATTCCTGCTGTCATTTGACCTTTTGTGAATAAGGTTTATCATGTTACAATCACACTAGTGTTGTGGTCCTGCTCATCATACATCAAGCTGGCGATGCAAATGTCCCATTACAGAAGCACAATCACCCATTCGTCCTTTTTATTATAGACACCAGATATGGACTCATGCCAGTTATGACACCATGGTCTTAGCTGAGGGTAATATCATGTGTGTTACTTTGCCTAACATGCAGATTGAATTGGTTTGGGTCCAAAACCGTTCATCACCACTCGATGACCCTGTGAATTAAAGATTCTCGCTTCTACTTTCTCAAAATACTTCTCTTTGTTTTTAGTTAGTAATTGTTCAAGTTCAGATCTTTGACACCAGAGACAATGATTTGCATCCTGAGTGCACTATGGTTTGTGAAAGGGAAAGACATAAGACAAAACATAAGATTTAAATGCTGATAAAGGAAGCCTACAATAAAAAACGAAGCCCAGAGTGTTTGTATTACCATAAACAATTTGTTGCAAGTGCCTAAATACAACCATGAACAATGTTAATCATGCTTTAGCTGCTACAAGCAGATATTTTGGGGAATACAAATTATATGCTGTCAGAGAAAATAACGAGATTTCAGATTGCAGTACATTCATTATACATGTTTCCTGAATTCCTGAATAAGTAAACAATTTGCTGCTGTTGCAAGGTTAGTTATATACAAAAGTTATAGTCAAAATGTAAATATTGCAACATTGTTGGAAAACATTGGATTATCTTCAAAGTTTGTTCTTACATTCAGAGCTAACAAACATTCACTGCACCTCCCGACCTGTACTTGACAAACTGGGGTTGGTTAAAGTTTAAGGTTTCCCCCAATTTGGGTTCAATCATACATTCTCCTTGCAGTGAGTTGACACTATTAAATGAACCAGTACAAATCACTGTGCTCTCCACATTCAATATTTTACATTTCCAATGCATCGACACTACAGAGCTGCCTTCTGTATGATAACACAGCATTACATCTTTAACAGAATAATAATAATAGCTAAAATAGAATGATTCATTTGCATGTTATCTGGAAAAAACATTCCAGTTCTGAACCATGCCGGCAGTAAGCACTGCACTGTCTGCTGATAAACTGATACACTGGAACATTGGTGAGATAATATGAGGCTTTGAATGTTCCACATAGATTTGAGTTGAGCCTAGAGGGTGAGATTATATGTGAATGTTGCTTGTGCATTAGCCTATCTGTGCTTTATGTTTCATAAATTTAGTGTAAATAAGGACGCTCGTTCAGTATCTTTTCATTGCCAATTCACAATTTCCAGTTTTCCATTTCCACTCTTTACCAAATGCAGACTACAGCATGCCCGCATGCTTTGCAGTGGATGCAAAGACCATTTTTGATAAACTTGGATATTTTGTCTTGTGGCAGTTGGCATTAATATTGTATTGTCAATATGAATCTGGAAAAACCGACAACTGAGGGCAGACCCTTTTGCTGACCTGTACAACTATAACAATCTGCTGTCCATATATTCATATAAGTAGCCTACATGACCAGAGATTTATTGAAACGTGCACATGGGCTGCATTTCGTACACAGAGGAAAGACAGTTGCATAGAAACGATTCTTAATTGTGCATTTCCTTGGTTGACACAGGACAGAGACGTCATCTGCAACTGGAATGGGGTGATCAAGTAAAAGCGCTGGTCAGCTATGGCTGTGGCAGCGCACCCTGCAACAGAATGCCAGAGGCTGCCATTACAAAACCACCTTCATGATGACAAAAGAGCACGGCTGAGGAGCAGTGAAGAAAAGAACACTCTCAAGGCCCCTGGGAGGAAAGAGGTTCCAAATCAAATGTTCCATGAAATGAATATGAAAAATACAGCAGAATATCTGGCAAGGCAAGAGATCTCTTAAAGAAAAACGGTGTCTTGTTATTATTCCCCAGTCTCTGACCTTTATCGCAAATACCGCATGGCAGAGACTGAGCACATCTGACCCGACCTCCGCTTGCTCACAGCATGGCACATGGTACAAGAGCCTTTAGCGGCTAAATGGAGGTTTAAGTTAAAGAGAAGTCTCCACTCATTTAGAATGCATTGGCTGTGTTTTGTTTGCCCACAGTGACTCACTCCTCTGACTGATTCACTGGCTCACCACTGAAACCCATGCATAAATTACAGCCAGATGACTTCCCTTTGTTAGAGTAAACACAGAAACACAAGCACACTCACACTGATGCATGACACTGTATCTTTTCCTTTACCAGATTTTACATTTGAAAACTGTACCTTAACTCCTGCAACTATAGTGTCCCAATATATCCACGACATGTGCCGACAAACTCACCGCCCGTGAAGAGTCATAAATTGTTAAGAGACGGACAAAGCAACAATCCACAGTGAGATTTATTTATAGTGCTTTAGTTTTATGCAAATCACACTGTATTGTACAATCAAACCTTCAATTGAGCCTAAAGAAGAGAGCAGTGTGCGTTGCCTCATGAGAGCTCTGGTCTGTTTGCCACCACACACCCACTTTTCATAATGGAAGCAATCTGTAAGGTCCAGCGCTAACCCTGAGTGCAGCAGGCCAGAACACCCAAGGCATCAGAGCTGAGTCTGTTCCCCTATCAGACACAGGCAGCCATTCCACAGTCTCTTTTCCATTTAGACTTTACGCGCTGGGTAATGAAGGCTTTTCTTTTTCTTTTGCTGGTCTGTGGGTAACTTATTGAAACCCTGCTTTTGAAGAGTGATTCAAAAACAACCTCGTAAATTTCTGTTCCACTTGCTTGGGGCCCAGTCATACTTCACTAAGTAAACCATTGGCTCCTTTTCTTTTCTTTTTTTTTCTTTAGATCGACCGACTCACGGTTGAATACATCTGTCCACAAATACAGTTTTCATT